CTGAATCGAGTTTTCAATTCTCTATCCAACGATGCCAAAACGAATTCTGTGGCTCGAATGGTTCTTGAGAAACTTCGAAAAAAGGCCATTTAGTTATCTCTGGATTGATGTAAAAACGAGCGTTCTTGCTCATTTTGCTTCCGGGAAGCATGCAAAACGGGACGGAAAACATGAAATTTTGCAATAATCTTGCGTATAACAGAAAACTGTATTTTTTCTACATCCCCCCCCCCCTGACTTTAAAGCTGGATCCGCCCATGTATACATTCCATCTAAGGACGCCCCCTTCACATTCCATCTAAGAAATCTACTCCCTCATCCTTTCGGCAAAAGATTTCAATAAAATCAACACCAAGTGCTGTCCAAAAGGCATTTTCCTTTAAACCAACTGTAGTGAAGTTGATTTTCCGCCGAGTAACTGTCCTCTACCGCTTTTAGTGCCTCGTCCCTTATCTAAAGACATGGATTTAAGCCTACAGGAAAATTAATCGTGTCTTCGGCTTACCTCAACAGGGGGAAATATTCTTTTGCAGTCGCCGCGGTGCAAATGCTCTTTAAAAGCCTCGATCAAATAGCGCTTAGTTTCCGGCGATAGGCAAGGCTTGCAAAGCTGGCAGTCGGGAGATACGCAACTGCTCCTACACAATGGACTGTTGCATTTTTCTGGATATGTAGCCAGTTGTTTCTCGGAAACTATCATCAGTTCTTCCTCTTTGGACCTAGAAAAGGGCATTGAAAATCGCGCATTTTTCAGGATGGAATCAATTTGTTCGGGAACATATTTTTGCAATAGTTTCTCCTAGGTGTGGTACTTATTACCTTACTTCGAGAGTGTTCTTGTGAATCCGTTGTCCTACTCCGACCAATCCAAGAACGTTATACAGCAACTGCTGATAGAGGAGTCGATTTGGTGGGAAATGCGAGGATGATAAATTGGGGCTCATGTTGGCTTCCAATAGGTAAATGTTCAGTTCTTCATCGATTACGAAGTCGAACCTCATCATTTCGAAGAAGTTTCTTTTGTGCCTGAACCTGAAATTAATGCGGTTTATGTACGGAAAACTGAAATTATTTCATACCTTTTAAGAACGTAGGCAATTAGAGGCTCTTTGGCTATTAAAACCGTTCGAATAGAGTCTTCAATTTGCGTCCAGATCACACTCGGGTCCCTGCCTTGACTCCTTAGGTAGGCATTCAGACTTTCCCGCATTCCAAACCCTAATTGGTTGTAGTAATAGTCTACAGCTGGCACCTCCCATATGGGTAAATAATCGTCTCCTACCACGTACTTATCCAGATTTGCTGGATCGAATGGGTAATATTTTGTCGGGCAAAATCTAAGGCAAAAATTTGGGATTATATCAAGACCGGAAGGTTTTCGCGGCTGGTTAAAACATCGGTTGAAATATTTTCCGGGCTTAAATCTGCGAAAAAGTCCAGAAATCGTTTCAACCGTTTAACATTATGTTCGCTACCGTAGCAAGGCTTCACCATTGTAAATATACACCCTGAGAGGATCGATTGATGTAACAACGGTGTAGATCCCAATATCAAACTTGTGTCCGCTGAGCAACAGGGGCTTATCCACAAACTCCTGGACAAAGCTCCCGCTCTTGTCCAGATCGATGTTCGACAGCTGTTCTATCTTGATGTTCCTATGGTCGTTGTTCTTTTGCACAAACGTTTTATTCGGATTCATTTTCGCAAACTGCAGCAACTTCTCTTTGTCTTGCGGAAGCTTGAAGGCGGGCGGGATGTAGCGTAGACCGCTGGTAGCCAAATCCACTTTATTGGTTATGTAGCCGCATCCAGGAAAGTGATTGACCTTTTGATGGGGCTTCAGATGACTTAGCTGTGCTTGAAGGGCCCGAAATGGGTAGTCGTGGGCCCATAGGAGGTCCCAATCGCCCCCTGAAAAACCCACAACATTTTTTTGCCTGACAAAAACGCTTAGGTGTACCTGGGTTTTGGGTTTTTTGGTACCCCAGCCGCTCCAACACCGTGTAAACCTCCTTCAGATGGCCCCCTTCGGAGTTTTTTCCATAAACCCAGAACGTTTTGGAGGACTCTTCAGCTACATCCACGGGCTTGTTAAAGCATTGTCTGCATTCATCTGCCGCAATGAACAGGATGGTTAACATAGAAACGCCCCCAAAAAGCAACGAAAGGCCCCAGTAGGTGCTGAAAAGACGCTCTACAAAGGGACTCCATTCAACATGGGTTCTCTGAAAATAAGATATGCCCTAGTTTGTCGGAAAAAGCTTCTAAAAGTATCGAAAATGTTGGAAATATGCTGAAAGTGATAGTTTCGAGACAGAATCTGTCAAATACACGTCAACTCGGATGTCATTCTAGCGAAAAAGTCAGTTTCAAAGTTGGGATGACGCGGACCGTTTGCGCTTCGCTCCGTCAAGACTTTGAAAAATTCCGGGTTTTACGCCGTTTTGTGAGCTAAAGTGTACATTTTCTCAAAGACAAAGTTCCACTTCATCGTTTTGTGGTATTTTCCCGGCCGAAAGTGCGATTTATCGGAATTGAACGGGTTTTAATGAATTGAGAACTTTTGACGTTTGCCGTCAAACATCGCTGCCATCAAGTCTACATGCGCCTACTAGGTAGCGGTCAGGCCAGAGTTCCGAGCACTTGGACTTGGAGATTTTTCTACCTAAGGCGAGTATTTGATCGACTTTTATATGGGCGCCATGCGCTGAAAATGTTTTCATATTTTAGCGCCAAATTATCCTTAATCCCAACGTATGTAACTAGGAAAAAAATGAAAATGTTCTCAAAATGTCTTAAATTTTACATCATTTTCAGCTCACGTCGAACTCATTGAAAAACATAACAGAAGTTTCAGATCAGGATTCAGGTCATTCTTATTGGCCCAAACACTTTATAAATGCATATTTAAAAATGTCCAAATCGGACCAATATTTACACTTACGCAGACAATCTCCACATGCAAAACAGCTGTTTTTCCAAAAGAAAATCGACCTTAAATTCACAAAGAACACATTGATAACATTTGTCTTGAAAAATCGTCTTTTCGGCTTTCAAACTCTTATGACGTTCAAGATTCCCACCTGATTTCAAGTTTGCAAAATACGATTTTTAGACCAAACCACTCGTTTTAGAACGAATTTTCAATGGTCCAAATCGGGGCCGTATTAAGAGAGTTACTAATTCATTCATTACTTCATTCATTCATACTGAAGAATCTGATGCCCCATATAATTATAATAATCGCAAAATGTTCACAATATGCGTGTCAATCGCGTTAGTGTTTGCCATCATCGTACAAAGTATTTATTTTCTTCAATTATACATTAAATTAGAGAAAAATATCGACATATTCATCGACATCGGTCATGAGGCTCTCGATCCGCCCTAACACAACCAACAACAACCATAAATGAACGTTTCATTCGCACTATTTGCTCGAAAATAAACGTTCCAAGGCTCAAATTGATCCAGATTTAAATTAGCCTCTTGTCTGGAGTGAAACGCAGCAAGCAGCAACACCAAACAACCTCTTTAATTGAACCGTTTGGCGGCTTTAGCATATTCTTGACCCAGACTCTTCACCTACTTTTCCCTCTAAGTGCATACCCAGATTTTGCCCCCATTTTTACCTTAGGTTCAGCCTCCCCTTCGCAATCAGTCTCTTTAGCGCTGCTTTCATGACTCTGTTCACTCATTTTCTTCGCACTCTCACCCAAATATCCTCAATCCACTGACATTGGAACCGAAACATGTGGTACTTCACACTGATGGTACTTACTTATTATACATAACGGTACCATCCGCAATGTGAAGGTGAGTGTGTGCGCGCATGAGTTGCAGATACAAATGAGATGAATGAATTCATGTTCTTTTGTTACCGCAGAAATGTTTTTTCTTTGGCGAATTTGCGCGCTTCTTGCGCTCATCGAGTGTTTATCGTTTTATTTCGTAAAACTTCATTTCTACAGGCTTTATTTAGCTAGTTTATTGACAATTTTCCCTAAAGAGTTTTTGTCGGCCACACGGCTAAAGTGTTTGCGTAGCAAATATGGAAGTTCAAAAGCCACGAATTTATCATTGTTTGTTCTTTAGCATGTCCCATGCTTCGGTTAGTCATTGTGGGCAAATAAAATGAATGTGAGTCCCCTTCGCGGGGAATTTCAGGCAGATGATATAAATTGTCGCAAAAGTGATTTTATGAGACAGTTTACAACAGCAGCAATGGAGCTAAGCGCGAAAATAACCAAAGTTAGTGCGTTCTTCGTGTTTCTGGTCATTCTTTCACTTGTCCATGGTGGTTCCTGCCAAGTAGTTACTGATTCTAAGGCAAGCAGTGGATTTTTATCCAGAAAAAGCGCCTACGCTCCTATCGATCCTGTTGGACTTATTGATCGTCGCCCTAAATTGCCGCTATGGGCAAAATCTGGTTTGGGAAACATCGTGAAAAACGCCCAACGAAGGAAAAAGTCCCTCCATACTTGGTAGAATACTGGCATTGTTTCTAGTGCAGCGATTGAACACTGATTTTTTACTAGGATATGGATATATGTGTAAATAAATACAGCTTAGTTGATTTTTTCGGCATTGTTCATGTATATATTTTCATTAGCAAGTTGCACACTTAACCAGTCAATATATTATCTATATAAATGTTGACTGCAGCTGTAGGAAGTTAGTTAGAACAACAACGCGATTGGCAGGCAAACCGTTGTTTGGTCTGACAATCATAATCGTTCCAACCGAAAGAGTTTTTCTGAGTTGCGTTAAATTTATATAAACCATATTGCAATAGCAAACAGTTCTGAGATTTACCCACGTTGTTTGGCTGGTCTTTTTGAAAGTGTGTATAAACTACGGGCTTTCCAGTTGGATCCCAAATAAATTCGCTGGAACATTCCGGACATCTGATGCCTCCCAGCCAAACTGTTCTCTGTTCATGAGCTGCAAGAGGAACGATTGTTGATAATAGAAAATACATTTGGTTGGTGTATTTATCCAATTATTTACGCAATAGAATGGTAACAAACCTGCCAGGCCTCTGCCAACTCCAAAGGATTTCCAAGTCTTTACTAAAGCTCTTTCCTCTTTTGGTGACATCACGGTCGCTAGTTCCATTCCAATTCTTTGGCACAAAGTAGATGCTGCGGCGTGCTTTACGAGCTGTTTCCCGATAATATACGTCTTTGATTCGGCACAGCATCGCGAATTCGCTACAGCAACAAAGGGTGAAAAAATAGCATTTAATTTTAATATCCGAAGACACTTTGCGTCACTTACCTGTCGCCTTGGAACTTGCGCTATCCGATAGAACTTCCGAAGTAGAATCGTAGTCTTCTGAATCGTCTTCTAAAATTTAAAAAAATTACAAGCTACATTCGAATAAAGATACAAGCGATAAATCTCCATAAGTATCCATATAACATGCACTAACCTTCCGCTACTGGATCTATAATTTCATCCTCCGTCTCTCCATAAACATTTTTGCCGTCTAAGCCATATTCTAAAATTATCAAGTGATACACATGGGACTCAAAACAATTTAACAAAAGGCCAAAAATAAATTGTGTAAAAAAGGTACAATAAAACCATTTTTTTGGCTTTGGAACTGGTGAGTTTTTCGGGTTCTTCAGCTGAAAACCCGAAAAAGTTAACAGTTTCAAGTCACCAATTTTTGTCAATGTATGTTTGTTCTTACCTGTGTAATTTGCAAAAGCAACGGACGAATTGACTAAATACAATGTAAAAGAGAATAAAGCAATTTTTAGAAACATCTTGAATGCTGCTCTGTTCAGATTCAATAGTGCCCTAAGATGAGAACCTTCTTATATAGATATTTGCAGCAATATAATTAACAAACTAAAAAACCAGTTTGAAAAGGTTTATCAGTTTTGAGACATACATTCGTTATTTATTTTCTTACCTTTGCATTAGTGTAGCGGAATTGTAACTCGCATTTACAATTTCGCTTGTTTAACGGGATATTGTGCTCCAAAACTGTTTTAATACTCTACTGATTGAATGGATTAATCACACATACATTACGAACAAGCAAAAGTTATTTGAAAGAAAGATTATAAACAATTTAAAGTAATTTTTATGCGTTTCCAATTTTTCCGTGCTTAACTTTACGCTGTAAAATATTCTTACAACTAGCTTTTGCTTATTCTTTCCGGTTTACGCTACTGTTGATGAATTGCTTTTGGGAGGAAAACTCTTTAAAAAACATTCAATTTCACACAATTAAGACGTTTTTGGGCAAAATGTTCTCCACTAATTGAGATATTGTCTACTCCATTATTTTAACATTATAGTTATATTCTTTTTATACAAATTTCAATCTTTATCTGTGTTTTAATCTACGGCCAGTTGTTATTTCGCATTGGCCACTTTTCCGATTTTTGCATATTTTAAAACAAGTTCCGTACATTTGACCATTCTGATATATTAGTTTGTTTAAATATACAGCTATATGGTATTGATTAGTTTGCGTGTCATCAAACTCTCATTCAAATTTATGCTAATTTCGAGTACTTTGTTCAGCACTTACGCAGAAAAAGGTTTCAATAGTACACGTGCTTGATAAATTAACAGGAACTCCACATTTTAAAGCTATGTTTTGCTTGCAAAGCCGAAATATTTAGGAAAAATGTACGTTCAATGCCGGACCAAGGAAATGCAGTTAAAAGTTTTAAGAGCGCTTGGAGAATCTGGAACAATCTCAGGCGCCTACAAATAGCAATTTGATTTCTTTACTACTCTTGCCTCTTTCGCGAATGCGACAATTCATTTTAATAATGTCTTTGCATATACCAAATGTTTAATTAATTAATTGTTGATGATTTCATAGATTTAAATAGATCGTGCTCAAAATGGTGGAGTAACTTTTTCTGAACGTTTAGGAGTCGATAAAAGGATTAAACAGAATAATCACCATATTTTTTGCTGATTTCCAAAGATGGTAAAGGTGCAAAAGTCTTGATGGACGAAATATACGTAAAATTCATCATACTGAAATTTTCTCCATTTTCAACCCCAATCTTTTGCCGATTGTCCAAATAAAAAAATCGATTTTTTATGAAAGTGTAATTTTATGAAAATACCTCTGATGCATTTGGACCTGTAATCTCTTCAGTTGATGATGGCAAACTTCGGATTGCGGTTCTTCAGGGATTATTTACGTTCTAAAGCCGCACGAACGAAAGTGCTCAAAATACCTGCATACTGATTTCTGATGAATTCTTATTTATCTCGGTTCGATGGCTTATTTTTTTCAAGAAATCGATGTAAGAAGGGCATAAATATACATTTATAAAGAGTTTCGGTCAATAATAAGGAAGCAATCCTCGGTTAAAGATCGTAAACGCTCAAAAAGCGCTTACAATGTGCCGAAAATGTCTATTATTTCGGATCTGAAACTTCTATTATGTTTTTCAATGAGTTCGATGCATTCCTCGTTCCCGTGAGCTGAAAATGATGCAAAATTTAGAACATTTTAAGAAAATTTAAACTTTTTCAAAAAATTGAATTGTGTGAACACCTGAAAATTCATTCTGTTACCCCGGCCTATAAGCTTTTATTAAGCTTCGTTTATAATTAGGCAAATGTTGTGAAAAACGGTGCACATTTAGAAGGAAATCATGGTCTATTAACAATCACTGCATGGCATAAAAACTGGTGCTGATAAAGCCAAATCATCATTCTAAATATCTCACTTAATAGTAGCCGTACCAATCAGCGGGGAACTAATCAATTTGGCAGACAAACATCATTATGCAGGGGCAACATTACGAACGAATAATGTTCGCTTAAGCTATTAAGGATTAAGGCCATTTGTATCCCTATATGGGATTAAATGACTCTTTTTCATAGTAGTAGAGAGATTTGGGCAAATTTTATTATTATTAACACCAAAACAAGACAAATTGGTTATCAGTTTTTCTTGGCAGTTTCGCCATCATATAAATATTTCTACATAATGGTGCAACGAAGCCCTTGAAGATTTTTCGCTTATTAATTATGTGGTAATTAACATAATTTGCGATCAATATTATGTAAATTCCGAAATAAATCTATGGATTCCATCATATTTGTGCATATGAAACTACGTTTTATTTGTTATTGTTCTACTTGACCATGAATCAGGAATATGTATGTTCGTAATAATTCTTCCGCTCAAGGTTTCCAGCAGCAAATCAATTAATTTATTAACGGCAATTGAAATTTGGTTAGTTTAATGTAGTTTTCTCCAGGGTGATTGTTTCCACTTACGTTTCATCAAGTAATATTGAAAAATGTGGAAATCTTGATAGTAGTTGCAAAACGTTGACATTCTATGGAATCCATAAACCTTCGGTTTTTCGATTCCAAAGGTTAAGATAATTCATATAAATTTCGTAATTCTTTATGGGAATTTTAGCCTTCATGGGTTTTTAGGTCATTGCCTCTGTGTTACTCAGGTGGAGTGTTCTAAAACGGTTCAATTATTATAAACATCATACTCAACCCACACAGAGAAGCTGGCTAATAATTTTTCCTTTGCGGAATAGATGGATTAAAGTATTTTCATTAAAGATGAGAAGAAAATGCCCTTAAGAACACCATTTGGGGAATGATGAAGGAGTGGTTATAAATACCAAAATTCGATGTCGCTTTCACATGATTGATGGCCGTTATATTACACTTTCCATATATTTCAAATGAGGTAAAGCATATTGAGGAGCTGCTTAAGGCGGAAAGAATCCATTGAGCTGAGAAATTTTTATGTTTTATTGAACATTTCATTAAGGGTGGAGGCCGATTTTTTCCAAAAATATCAAACCGTTGCGGCGAATTTTACATCATTTCCATCTTAAGAGAACGAGGAATGCAAAGAACTTATTTGAAAACCCATCAGAAACTCTAGAAGCGAAATAATCGATATTTTTGGCACATTTACGCTGTTTTTGAGCCATCACGTCACATGCTCTTTCAATGGCAAAAAAGTTATGAAACTCTAAAAGGACTAAAGTGTTTTTGGCGTAATCAAAATTGCATCTTTCCAGTTTTTCGTTAGTCTAGTGGAAATCTGTTGATTTCCTCTTAAACTTTTTGATTCGTTCACATTTTGACTGGTTCTGCTTGTTTTTCATTGTCAAGATTCCATCAGAGGTGGCCGTACTGCTTGAAACGCTGACAATGTGTTGTCAGTATAAATATTCAAATTTCTGTTTGTCAGTCATCAACGTTTTTGTCATCTCTACCATTCCAAAATTCCGCGTGTTTATGTTATTTTCATTCGAGTGCTCGTCCGACATTCTAAATTTGCCGTAGTTCAGTTGGTGAGTTATGCATTTTCACATTTTATGTGCTTGTTTTTTTTTTATTTGCTCCAATGACAGCGGGGACTTTTCTATCGAAAATGTACTTGAATTTATAGTCCTTGAGCAGGAGCAGCCGATTTCTGCATTTTTTGACTGAAGGCCATACGGGAAATCGATTGGGTTTTTAAATCATTAATTGGTCGTGTCATCAAGTCCGGGTTGATAATGTAATTTGCAGGTGTTTCACTTGCTATAGTTTTTTCTACAGACTGGAAAACCAGCGCCCTTTGAAGAAAGGCGCCTTAGTCGCGTGATCTTCCTTCCAAAAGCCAATAAAATACCCTATTTTAAAGTCCCGCGTTCTTCATTACTCATTATTCTTATATAGAAATGTAATGCGTATTTCAAAAATTTGTCGCCAATTTTTGAGGCGAAATTGTGTCGCTGAAATCTTCGAGCGCTGACGAGGCGAATGGGTCGCATAATATAAGAGGGTATGATTGCCACCCCATTTTACAACCCTTAATAGCGGTACTGAGTTGTCAGTTTTTAACTGGTTTGCTAGTTACTCTGCAATCAATCGTGAAAATTATTTCTTTATTTTTAGTTCCTTTTGATAGTTCCTCCGATCAATCGGCGCCTTTCCGTTATTATTTATTAGGCATGTGTTAGATTTCCTCTTATTAGTCAAAATGCATTTTAACATCCAAACAAAACGACCAAAATGCCACCAATTAATGAACACAAACACACATCAAATAAGAACATTATCTTAATGTTCTTATTTGATTAGTTTAAATTTGTGGACACCCTGTATAAAATGGTAAGTTTATTATCATTGGGATATAAAATATGATTTCTTGTTACACTAC